AACCTTTGGCTAGATATACATGGTATCTATCCACTATCCAAAGAATACTCACAAAACAAATGTAGAATATTTAATAAAATTTAATAATTAACATACTCAGCACTAAACATCTGAATGCTTTGAAATAATCCATTTGGATAATGATCAGAGTTTTCCAGTTTATATCTGACTTCAATGTAGAGTCATTCTTTCATTTATTTGTTCATTTGTTTGGCAAAGACCTTCTATAAACACATACACACACACAATTGCTGATATTATCCTTCAAGAACTTATGGGAGACTTTCCAGTCCACATGATGTTGGTATAAACTGTAATTTGAACATCTGCTTACCCTGCATGAGGCCCAAAATATGACATTTCTAAAGAAATCCACATTGGACTTGTGTTGTCTTTTACAAAAATCAATAGCATTAACTCATGGGGCAACATAAACTTAGTCACTGGCAAGACAAAGGCTGTTTTTCCACATGTAAAGTGGGGAGACTGCAATTTTCTGTATGTCCTCCTCTACGTGAGTGGTATGGTAGAATACTGATTAATGAGAGGAGGAAACATGTTCATTCCCAGAAGACATCTCTAGGGTGCTTTTTTTACTCTAAGCATCGTATAGAAAGAATTGCATAGCTATGTTCTTTTTTCCCAAGGAGTTAAAATTGAACTTAAGATTGAATCAATACATTACTTGCATATAGCCAGTGCAATTCAGGGCTCAAACTGTGATGCTTAAACATTTATCTTCTCTCTGCAGAAAGTTAGCAATCTCAAATAGTCTGTGTCCAGTGCCTATGTGTCTGCCATTGTACATACATGTATAGTGTGAAGCGAATTACAGATTCACTCATAATTTTCCTGGGACATTCATCTGTGAGCCCAGAACAGCCTTATATGGCAATTCAGACTGGGCTTCACAAAGTAGCAGGCAGAGAGTAAGCCACTCTCTCAAGTATTTGCCTCTTCACTGGAGAAGTGGGCACCGCCGCTAACAAAATCAAGTGCATAACCTCCACCCAAACCTGCTCCTTGCCTGGGCCTTCTGTTTCAGCTGACAGTATCACTAAGTTATTCATTACTTAGGCTTTAAATCCTTACAAATCCCTCATTCCTGGATAATCTCCCCCCTCCCATGATATTCATCCCCAGCTTGTGCTGCTTCTGCCATTACCGTGAGCCCCAACCTGCATGTATTCCCAATGTTGGGCCCCAGCACCTCCCACCTGGATAAAGTCTTCCTAACCGGTGTCCTCACCACATTGTCTGCCTTCCCTCACTCTCCCCAGTGCATCCCACCACTCCAACGCCAAGTTATTTTTGATCATGCAAAGGACTATGTCACCCTGTTCAAAAACTACATTGGTTTCAAAATAAATTCCAGACTTGACATAAGGGCAATAATCTCACTGTGAACCATCTCCATTTTATTTTGACTGTTCTGCCTGCCCTGAGTGATCTAAAATTCAGCCACACAGGCTATTCAAAGCTCTCTGCCGGAAGACTGGTGCTTCTCTGAGCTATGTTTATATATAGGCTGTGCCTTCAGTTAGAGTCACCTTCTCTTCTTTCCTACTTATACTGTCGAACGCTGGTCTGCCACGCAGCTTGCCTTCCCACCTAGACCAGAACTGATTTAATCTCCCCTGGGCTTCCCATAACAGTCTGTTATTCCCTCCAGCAAAAAAAAAAAAAAGGTTTACATTGGTAGCCCTATAGATTTCCTGGCCTGAACTGGAAGCTCCCTGAGAGCAGAGATCTTGCTTGTTTATAGGTCTGTACCGGCTCAGTGAGCCCACTGAGCAAGGGTCTGGCACTTGGAAGGAGTATAATAAATATCAGTGGAACTGATAGGCTCCTGAGAGCTGAGGAATGGCTGGAGCAACTTCCAAAATGCCCCCCTACTGCATGACACCTCCCTTAGATGCCACTGGTACCTGGCCTGTGTCTCAGTCCTACCCAATTCTGCTTAGTGACACAGTTCTACTTCAATACCCCGATGTCTCTGAGGTGGCACTCAGGGATCATCACCCCAGAAGCAAGAGGTTCCCCTTTTCAGAGTGCCTTCCCCAAACCAAACCTAGTGAGAATATCTCATCCTCGACCCAAGACTCATCCATCCCATTGGACTGGGGCTAAAGTTAAAAATATTCCTGATGACACAATCTAATAAAAAATAATAAGCAAGAGAGTCCTCATAGTACAACATAGGTAGAGGAGGCATCTGGACTTGAACCCTGGCTCTGCCTCCTTTCCTAGTAGAGGGTCCCAGGCAAGTTCTTACCCTTGCTGAGTTCTAGTTTCTTCGTAAGTATAATTAAAATATAAATATTTGAGACCGGTCTGCATTACAGGTGGTACTTATTAGACACTTGGTCAGCATTACACTGCTCCTTTTCTCTTCAAATGAAGCATGTTGGGTGGGTCAACTGAAAAGGAAGGAGCCCAGGTTCTGGAATTGAACCTGAGAACGGTGACATGTGCTGCACCTCTGTTCTTTCTCCAAAAAATGGAGATAGAAAAAAACTATCTGTTGTGAAAATATACTGGATGTTCTTCCTATCCAAGCTCAGAGTTTAAAATCTATGGGTTCAACCGTGCTTTTTATTATTTGGGAGAGGGTCAGCACTGATACAGCCATCCTGTGTGAGTCACTACACAACCAGGAGATGGCTGATCAGGTTGGAAGGTATATTCTGCTCGATGGATATGGAACAAAGAAAAGCTAACTGACTCTCACAAGGTGTCAAAGAGGATCAGAATTTTAGAAAATTTTACATGTGGCAGGTAGTTGAAAATCTCCAGCATCAGTGGATTGAGTGCCAGCCTGTGAGCCAAAGGGTCACTGGTTCAATTTCCGGTCAGGGTACATGCCTGGGTTATGGGCCAGGTCCCCAGCAGGGGGGTGTGAGAAACAACCACACTCCCTCTCTTTCTCCTTCCCTTTCCCTCTCTCTGAAAATTAATAAATAAAATCCTTTAAGAAATAAGATTTCCACCACCAGATTGATGATGAAAATAAGAAATGATGTGTTGATTAGGAGTGGATTGAGGTCCCACCATGTACACATCATGTTCTAGACAGGACAAGGGACATCTTCACCAGAGGCTAATGGGAGATTGCTTCTGTAAAAGGGCATACCTGTGTGTTCAGGTATCTACCTGCAAGTTCAGGTATCAAGAGTACGAAGGGGTGGAGTCATGGTTGTCCCTTCTCTTTCTTTCTAAGAAAAGGTGAGTGTGGTGGGCTCCCTACAGGCCCCTGAACCCATGGCCCATTGGTCACAGTGGGGAGAGGGACTGACCCACGTGCTGTGCCCTTATCCTGGGCGAATGTCTGCCCAGTTTTCTATAACTCTTTACTGTTGAGCTTCCTCATTGTAGGCCTCCAAAGGATAATGTACATACATATAAAAGATTGTGCAAGATGCTTGAGGATGGACCAGGATCACAGCATTTGCAGCATATACTTGGATTTTGAAGCAAACAAACAAGAAAAACATCAGCGTTTCTCATCTGAGGCCAAAGTGACACAGTTCTTGTTGAAGTGAGAGATGACGTGCTCAGCCCTCCCTCAGATGGTGCTGTGTCCTTTGATTTCAGACGCTGTTTTTTTATGTTGATGTGATCTTTCCCAGTGACTCAGAACAAAGTGAGTAATAGAATAGTGACTGGGATGTGCACTGAAAGGATGCATGTTTTCCTTTCTGTCGACACATGGATTTTATGAGTTTCTGGTACCTGGAAATTGACCAAAAACCAGCAAAGCATAGTGTATGTCTAAGGTATACCTACTGTTCCTCTTGGTACTATCAGATCTCTCTGTAATGTCCTAGATCTCAAAGCAAAAGGCCTTGGGGTGGGGTGGGGGAAAACACCCTCCAAAATGAACTCACAAGCACAGATCACTTTTGCAAATGTCCATGATTTCAGAACATAAATGCAGACACACCCTTAAAAGAAGCACTGGAAAGGAGAAAACTGGCCGGCTTCCTGAATCTCACTGAGTCCAATTGGACTGGGTGATGGTGGAGATCAAAGGCGTGCAGCAATTGAACAGCCAGCCAGGAGGATCTGGCATCTTTGGGGCTGCTGGACATCGGCCAACTCAACCACGCCAAGCAAAAGCAAACTGAAAGTAAATACGGGCAAGTAATCGAATGCACATGGCCTTGCTCCTCACAAAGTGTGTTTGTTCCCCAAGGGGCAGTTTCCAGGTCTTCAAAAGCACACGCTCCGTGGCAATTTCAGAATGTCCCGCTTTCGAACCCAGAGACTGAAACTTCGGCTTCTACTGAAGGGCAACGGGCAAAGTCTCCTCTTCATCATGGTACCCGCCATCTTCCCTTCCCTCTTAGTCTTCCATATCCCCTCACCTAAATAACTTTGTTTCCAGTGCTGTTTCTAAGTAAGGCAAGCGGGAGTCCTCTCAGGGACAGCAAGTGTTCCTAGCTCTGCTGTTCATGGTGCCTAGTGGGGAAGGTCACCGTGTTGTCTCCATGGTGCCTTGCCATCCTCCGACCAAGGGTGCAAATGAGACTGGTCTTCTGACTCTAGGGAGAGGGCCCACGCAAAGCAGCAAACTCCTTTTCCACCGCTAATCCTTCTCATTCTTTACTCCTCTTACTACCCTCGTGGTTCAGAGAAAGAGACTAATTTACCATTCCACTTCCCCCCACCAACACACACATTCTAAACCCCACACCCACCCAGAAGCATAAAACGAGAATGACAAAATCTTTTCTGCATGTCCGCAGTATTACAGAAACGCAGCGTCAGCGTGGGGGCTTTAAAGAGCGAAAAACCTTGAAAATGAAAGCCCAAGTGAGGGTCTAAAGAGAACAAACAAAGGAGGGCATTCTTTACAAACTTGGTTCCCTTTTTTAAAATATGCACCACCTTCTCCTAGAAGGAACCACGAAACACAATAGAGCAGCACTTAAGGGATTTCCTCTCACCAATTTTCCTCCGGTCCCTTAATTGCTGTAAGCCTGAGTACTTTGTGTACAGTCCCTACAGCAGTGATTTGCATCTCCCTCTCTGGGTTGCTGTTGGCTGGAGCTGGCAGCTGCCTCAGTCCGACTCTGGCTGGGAAAGGTAAGGATCTTTGCCTTGCTCTTTGAAAGATCTGGGAGAGAAATGCTGAAGCTTACAGAGGCGGGTGGAGCGAGGGGGTCCCAGATTAACTCCTGCACTGGAAGTTTTCTGAGGAGTTCTCCAAATTTCAGGGAATCCCCTGGAGCCACATGTTTTAAAGAGAACCAGAAAGATTTCCTTTCCCTTCTTTCTGAAAGGGGGCTTGCAGAAAGAAGGCTAGTTGTATTGTGGATGAGATCTTTCATTTGGGGGCAGGTGTCCCTTCAGAAATCCCCAGGGGTGTTTAATATCTCACAGGCAGAGAGTGGAAAAAGGGGGGAAAAGTCAAAGATATCAGGTGCTGATCACTAGAAATTCTCTTTGAATTTCAATTTGAAGAGGTAAAAGTTAGAACTGCCTGTGCGTCCATGGATAGAATGATGTTTATTGTTCAGATACAGTCTCTGCTTTATCCTTTCTACTTGTTTGTGTTTGTTAGTACACACCATCAATTATCTACTTAGACTCTGGAGATGTGCATCTGTGTATCTAGAAAGAATAAGAATTCGGGTGACCGTGTGACACCTGAAGCTGAAAAGGCTGAAGAAAGCTTTGGTGTTACGTAGGAGAAGTTAGGGACAGACCTGCCCACGTTAGGGACTTAGAGATACACTCACTGTCCCTCGTTATAGATTTGGCCAGCCGCTCACCAGAGCAAAAGGTGCCTGGGGCTTCTGTCTGGTAGATTCATGTACCTTTGACTTTGGTAATGGGGGAACATGATCTTCCACACAATAAGGTGATACTCTGACCTTCTGGGGGGGTTACTGGACTATTTGGGGGAAGGCAGCCCCACGTGAGGGCGTAGAGAGGAGTTGCCCCCAAAGGTCACAGTTTGTGGCCAAAGGACTGCTGCTCCCTTAAGGAGATTCTCAGAATCTCCAGTTCATGTAGCCAGTGACCCCCCCTGCCTCCATATCACCATCTTCCCAGGGCGAGGATGGCCAGGTGTCTGCTTCTGAGTATTTCTTACCTTCAGCACCAAGTGACCGCCCTCCTTCGGGCTGCTGGCTTGTCCCGCCCTGCTGTGCTGCTGCGGGTGAGGTTGGGGGTGGCTGAGGCCCTCCAGCTACTCAACCTCGGTCTGCTGGGCCGTCCCAACTCAGCCAGCCTGCAGGGACTTGTCAACTTTATGTTTCAAAAGGAAGAAACCCAAGCCCTCTCTGGCTTCCATTCTGGAAAAAAAATAAAGGTCCTCTGGTCCCTCTCTCTTTATGACAAAATCATCGCTGTGCTGTTACTGGCCAAGGCTGGCAGGGGGGAGCTAATGCAGGACAGAGGTGAGGTGCCTGGAACATCCAAACCTTCCAGCAGCAGCAGGGAGAGCGAACAACTCACGATTTAAAAAAATAATAAAAAGGAAAAAAAAGTCTCCTCTGAGGTTTTATCTAGAGGCGTAGATTTGCCACACCATTAAAAAAAAATGTTATTGGAACTTGTATAGATTAAAAAATAGCGGATGGATCACTTTTAGCTATAAAAGTAGAGACCAGCTTGTCATAGTCTCCCAGTATTACCTCATTTTTTTCCCCTCAAAAAGATAACTTGGGGCCTTGAAATTTAAAATAGCTTGTCTAATAAAGTATAAACAGATAAGTCCATTTACGGAGTGGGGTGGGAAGTTGACCTTTAACTTTACTGTGTGAGGGGGTCAAGTGTCAAGCCCTGCGTCTCTGAATGTTTAAGATACCTTGCTCCTTCAAGTGAGTCAAGGAACAGCAGACGGGCACTGGTCAGGGGCTTGTCACAGATCCGTGAATCAGAATCTACACTTAATAAGCTCCCCGTGTGATTTTTGTGCCCATTAAAGATTAGGGTTCAAACCAAAGGCTTCTTTCTCTCTCTCTCTGTGACCTCTGTCAGATTACTTAACCTCTCTGAGCTTCATTTATAAACTATTTATAAACTCCATCATAAACTTGCTTGTAAACCACTGAGAATTAATGGTAATGCGTGTGGATTGCACATGTCCAGCCCATAGTCGGCACTCTGCAAATCACAAAGACGATGATAATTTCATGACTGGTTTTCCCTCTTCACTGCAAAATAATTTGTATCTCCCATCTCATTTCTAAATGAATTAATGCCAGTCCGGAGGGTTTTAAGCTTCATTTAGCCACATCACACAAATAAATAAAGAATGGTAGGAAAACCTAGGAACATAGATTTTTGCTCGCTCAGAGGCTGAATTCAGCTGCCGGATGACTGCACAGCTGTTCCTGCCACCCTAAAGGGTCTGTCCCTCGTCAGCTCTGTCACCTCAGCTGGGTCTGCAAAGCTGACTCGGGGATTTTCTTATGAAAACGTTTGATGGGTGGGAGGAAGATCTGGTGATTGGCTGGGGAAAAAATGAGTAGTGCAAACAGTCTACTTAGTAAATGCTGCAAGAGCAATAACGTAAAAGCTGGCTCCCGTCTCTGGGGACTCTAGAATGATTCTGACTTATCATGTCACTGAGCAGAGGTGGGGGAAGCCAAAAACTCAGAATCTGCTGGCAAGGAAAAGAACGGGGAAAAAAAATGACAGGGAGGGGCAATCAGAGGGGGAGGAAATAAAAAGAGAGAGAAGGAAAGACAAGCGTCATTTAGGAACAGAGGTAGCGTGAAAGACAGAACTGCAGGATCTAAAACCAACCACGTAGCTCAGGATTTTTATCTTTTTTCCCAGAGGAGATCCCTGTCCTGTCATTTTATTGACAGGCGTGCTGTTATGGACTCTTTTCCCAGAAGTTGACCAGGAAAAGCTGAAGCGCTGAAGTGTTTCCCCACCGAGTCTGCTGGTTTCCCTGGTAATGGCTTGCTTCTCTCTGAGGTATGTGTCAGTAGTTTGGGGGCAGATCTTAATTTTCAGGTTCTTGCTTAAGTCTCGGCGTCGGAGTAAAGATGTTTTCTTTCAGACATAATGTCAAATATCCTTTTACTGGAAAGCAGTGGTTAATATGGTGACTAAAATGTTTGTGCAAAAAGACAGCTCTTAAATATTTAGCTTCATCGTCCAGGGAGTGATATTTTGACCTCCCAGGGCAGGAAAGAACATGTGAGGTTTGATTTCAGTTTGAATTTGTTTTCAGGGGATGTTTTAAATGTTCCAAGTATTAAGGCCATTGAAATAGCCTCCAGTATCTTCCTTTAAACTCAATAATTACAACTGTTCACTGTTTAGCTGCTAGGTAGCCTCTCAGAGACCAAAAAAAAAAAAAAAAAAAAAAAGACTTAACCTGTCTGAGCGGCAGACAAGAGTTTTCACTGATTTCTGAGAGACAGCCTTTCAAACGGGTGCTTTTGATGGGGTCTCAGATTTTTGTCCAGAAATGTTCAGATTTAAAATATTTAGATAGGTGCATCGCAGCAAGTCTTATGCACAAGTGGCTTGGGACCACACGAACTTGTAAAACTTTACTGAAAACCTAACATGCTTATTTTTTTCAACATGTCCTGGTCCACTTCATGTCAAAATTCCTTGTTGAGTTTAATGGAAAATCTGTGCATTGACTACTAGTTACTCTAATGGTTGATCTTATCTTTAACGTGAAAAATGATAAAATTATATCCTACAAAGTTGTTGATTTTTTCTCTTAGCATTTCTTTTTCCACTCCTTTCATATGGATTGGAGGATATTTTAGATCCACATATCTTAGCCTAATTGCCACTGAATTTTTGTTGAACTGCGTCCACACCTGGATCCCAGAACACATGGTGTGCTGTGTTGAACAGTTACACAATAAGGACTTGTTGACTATCAAGTTGATGTAGAAGAACATCATTTGTACACTGGCTCTGGTCTTGACATTGATTCAGTGGGTAGTGAACGGGTGATCGTTTGGAAAGAATGCACGTTATGCCTGGAAACAGTGGCAGAGCCTAAATTGCTGTGAGTTGTGGAACGAACTGTGTAAAGCATTGTTTATGACATAGTCTCCCACTGAATGAGGTCTCTGGATTAGGATCGAGGCTTTTCGGTGTGCTTAGAGGAAGGAGAAGCGATAGACAAAGCGGAAAGGCTAGTAAAACATTTGCAGACCGCCAGGGTTTATTAAACACTGCAAAGTGCTTCCTGCTTTTTATATCTTCCCTTTCTTTCTGGTTATCTGCTCTATCTTGCTTTCTGCTCAGTGCAAAGAGAATGCAAACGATGAGAAAAAGAAATTATGGTGGATTTTCACGTGCATTTGTGCCTCCGGGGAAAGAACGCAGTGGTGTCTCCCCGGCTCCTTACTTTTCCTCGTAGGGCTCCCTTTCGTGCATTTAGCTGACACCTCCCGTCTTCTCCTCCACAGCCCCCACCCTGGTGAGAACACCCACGTCTAGTCTGTGAACTCAGCGAGGAAACACTGCTGTAAAAATGACCGAAGAGCCCATCAAGGAGATCCTGGGAACCCCAAAGTGTCCCAAGCCAGGGACAGTGGAGAAGAGCCCCAAGGGTGAGGTCGTGGTCACTACGGTTCCCCTGGTCACTGAGGTCCAGCTGATGGCCGCCACGGGGGGCGCTGAGCTCTCCTGCTACCGCTGCCTCATCCCCTTCGCCGTGGTGATCCTTATCACTGGGATCGTGGTCACCGCAGTGGCCTACAGCTTCAACTCCCATGGCTCCATCATCTCCATCCTGGGCCTGGTCCTTCTGTCGTCGGGACTTCTTTTGTTAGCCTCCAGTGCCTTGTGCTGGAAGGTGAGACAGAGGAACAAAAAAGCCAAAAGACGGGAGAGTCAGACGGCTCTGGTGGCAAATCAGAGAAGCTTATTTGCTTAGGGAGACCAGGTGGGGTATTCGGCCTGAACATCCTGCTCTCCCTGCATCAGCCAGTCCTGCCAGAACTCGTGTGGGAGATGATGGGCTTGGCATCCACCAGGCCAGAGGAACGGGAGCGGACAGAGGGTGGGAGGGCGGAGGGGGTTCTCCTGGGCAAGGAACAGCTTGTATCTTCTTTAATGACAAACTTAACTCCAAGGGCTCTTTCTCAGATTGTAAATGCAGTTTTTTCTTCACATGAATGATGGTCAGGGTCATGGGAGGTATGCACCATTAGCCAACATTTGGTTCACCTTGGAAAGTAGCCAAGAGAAGAAGAGAAAATAATCAGACGGTTCTGGCATACCAGTGGCCCACCTCCAAAAGAAATAACCCACACGGCTGAGAAGCTGCATCAGAAAACGTTCTGCGGAGAGTCTACGTGGCCTTGGACTTGGCGTCCTTCTATGAAATTCTGTGATGACTTCTTTTTTCAATAAGTTGATCGTCTGGCACCTGTTTTATTTTTCACCTTCAGGAACTCATAATTGGTGGTACTTTCTCTTGAAGAATAAACTAATATTTTTTATGTTTTAACATGGGACAGTTTTAGCTGATTATAAATGATGTGTCAGAAGAGAGGTCAACGGTGTAGCTCCTAGATGACGTAGGGAGGGCATTATATTAATATTAAAATAATCCAACATAGCACTTTTGATGATTTTTATATTAAAGTTTAATGTACCTTTCATTTGAAATAATAAATACTCATTGCTGCTGAAACTTCTGACACGGCTGTTTCTGTTGCAGTTTTTATTGTGGTTCCAAATTGCCCGTCTTCCCTCACCTCATTGTAATGTCTCCATTGTGTTTGTCTCACATGGGCCTGTTGCTTCTTCCTAACTCAAGTAGAAAAAATTTTTGATACATGATTTTTATGTATGACTTCCAAAGAATATTGTGAATTATTTTTACTATATCAGGAAATCATGGGGTCTGCGACTGTATAATGTGTTGTTCAATGTGTTTTACATATTTATTGAAGAATCGGTCATTAACTATTTGCTTGAGATATTTTTGAGCACCGACTATATGCCAGGCATTGTATAGATTCCTAGGTTGCTTACCTGTGTCCATTCTAAAGTGACTGCATCAATTTGGCGAATATCGAGCTATTCCATGTGTGACTAGGACTCTACCCGATACCTCTAGCCAGAAATATTCCTGGTCCTTACAGTTTAAACCACATGTAACTAGAGCAGGAAGATAGTTTGGTATGAGGCCTTTTATTTTTTGTAACCTTGGAAAAACAAGGCAAAACAAAATGAATCTAGCATAGCCCTTTGGATGAAAGGCATTCTACCAAGACATGTAACTAAACAGGTCAGGAACCTCTGGCGCTGACCACTCTCTGGTGCTCAGGTAGTTTTTTAAAGGGAGATGCCCTGATGGCTTAGGTATTCCTGGCTTGGAGGTCAGATGGTGAGAGCCTGGGGTTGTTGATTGCAGCTGAGTACACTGCAGTTATCTTCAGCACGCGTGGAGATCAGCACCCCCACGGATGAAGCACGAGAGTGTGGCATTGTGTTTATTTCAATGGGGCAGAGTCGGTGCTTTGATAGGCCTCTTTCTGTGCAGAGATATTCAAGGCCCCCCACCGCTGATGAGGAAATTTCTCAGGCCAGTGTTCAAGGTTCTCCATGGTCTGGTCCAAACAGATGCATCCAGCTTTCCCTCTCACTGCAGCCTGAACACTCCTTGTGAGTTTAGCCAGACCGAGCTACTCTCCATTCCTGGATCCGGCTTCGGTTTCCTCCGGGTCTGTTCAAACTTCTGTTTTTTCTTCTCCAGAATGCCATCCTTTCCCTCTCCATCTCGACATACCCCCATTCTGCTTCAGCCTCTCGTTAGAGCCCCAGCTTAAACCATCTCTTCCTAGACGCTTTCCCCTTTATCCGAAGGTAACTGCCCCTTTGAGAGTCTTTACTCACTCATTCTCTGAGGGCACCTTTCATTTTCTTCCATGTTAGTGCCGTAAATGTTTTATTCTTTCCCAAATCTCCTTGGAAGCGTATGATGTGTCTTTACTTCTTTTCGCCCCATGTGATGCCTCATAAAATGTTTTGAGCAGGATATGTACTCAGTAAGGGTTTGCTAAATAAACTAAAGGATAAAAAAAAGTGACTGGTTTACCCCAAATGACAGTCCACTGGTTTTAATCACGTAAAAGAAAAGACTTGAGTTCTCAACTCTCTCAAATACAGGTCATCTCGCTGCGCCCTGCCCCCACTGTGAGCATGAGGTCTAGGGGAGTCTTTCCTACCCTGTGCTTCTCCGGCCACACCTGTCCTTCAAAATGCCCGAAAAGTAAACTCATGAATTACTTCAGGCCACCAGGGGGCCTCATGCTGCTACCTGAGTCCCAAAAGAAACACCAGGAAGGACTTAAATTGTATTGACTGACATGGGATCCTATGTAGAGACAGGAATTCTCTCTCCTGGATTTGAGGACTCGGCGAAGGTTCCCCATTGAGCCCACCCCTACTTTCCTCCCCCAGCCACATCACAGCGGCTGTTTCTGTCTTCTCCTTGAAAGTATGGGAAGGACTTGCCCTGTCTAGAGAGACTTTGGTCACATAGTCCTAGTCAAAATTATCTTGAATTATCATATCAAAGTTATCTCATAACGTGTGTCATTATTGGGCAAGGTTTGTCTTTGCAAATGCTTTTATCATATAGTGATAAGCAGATGTTAAATGCATTCATAGGCATGACGTAGGCATACGTGTATTAAAATGACAACCCGCCCCCACCCCCAGGGCATCAGAAACTAGTCGTATCTCCCAGCAGGGTTTTCTCCAAACCCCACACATCCCAGAATGGACACAGGAACTACATTTAACCTCATTCCATGGAGCAGGTTTCTGTCCAGGTGAGAACCACAGCCACACTGGTAACCCTGCCCTTTCCACCTCACCGTCTTAATTAATCTAGGGACTCTTGCTGAGAGAAGGTGGTCAAGGTCAGATGGATTGTGCAGGTGGCCGAGCCTTGGACAGCCAGTCATAAGTCCTCGAACTTACTTCTTTGTTCCACCCCTAGAGAGAGACAGACAGACAGGCAGACAGGGAAGACAGCAGAGAAAGAAGAAGGGGGAGGAGAAGGGGAGGAGATACCCTGATATCCTAGGAAGTATGGTTTTGAAGTTGAAAGATCTGGTGATGGATCCCAGCTCTTCTGTTAAACTAGTCCAGTGATCTTGAGAAGGCAAGCCTCATCTTTAAGATAAGGTTAATTTCCAAGAAATTATTTTGTGAACTATAAAGTATGACATAATTGCAAAATTGCTATTTGTAATAATATCTAATGTCAACTTCAGCTTCTTTCTCTGCTCATGGTCCTAACATGCCATTTAGCATCAAGCAGCCCCTTGTTTTGATTAAATGGCTTTACTTAGTCACTTTGTTTAACCTTGACATTATCCCCAAGGCTCTCTAGACACGAGATAAACTGGGGAAAGCACCTGTTCCAAAGATGAGTCATAACTCATATTTTCTTAATATCGTTATAATATTTGGGGCTTCCGCATATACTGGAGTCACTGTAAAGGTATATTTAATATCGAAACTCAACTAGATGCCCTCAGCCACGATGACAAAAAGCCAGGAAAGTGAGAAACCCTCCCCCACAATCCCCCCCCACCCCCACCATTGAAGCTGCATCTGGTAGCAACGAATACCGGGGCAGAAATCTAGAGAGACGAGGAAATTCCTCCAAGGGCACCTCAGTGATTCAAAGTTTATCTAAGGAATGTCAAGGGAATTTTGTTTAAACTTGACTTTTATGTGACTCCTTCATCCTAGCCCTTCAATCCTGTGTATTGAACACAACAGACTCAACTGGGCCTGGTAATACCGAGTATTCTCTACCACTCAGGCTGGCCGTGCTGGGGCCCACCTGGCTCTGCAGAGGAACAAACCACAGTTCAGGGAGTGTAAGGGACTGATTCGGCCAAGGAAGGCCTAGAGCAGGACCAGTGTGCTGGCCAGATAAGGTATTACAGCTATCCCCCCTGGCTGGTGTAGCTCAGTGGATTGAGTGCAGGCCTGTGGACCAGAGCATTGTGGTTCGATTCCCAGTCAGGGCACATGCCTGGGTTGCAGGCCATTTACCAGTGGGGGACACTCGAGAGGCAACCATACATTGATATTCTCGCCCTCTCTCCTTCCTTTCCCCTCTAAAGATAAATAAATAAAATCTTAAAAAAAAGATATTATAGCTATCCCAGATTTATGCTTAGCCATAACCGGTATCATTTCCAGGATGCCTGTTTAGGAAAGGGAGACCAGAAAGATAATGAATCACCTACTTTTGAAAACCTCTTTTTAAAGTATAATAGAGAAAAGCGTACAGCTCAATAAATTTCACAAATAAACCTGCGGAACTAACGCCTCGGTCAGGCAACCAAATGTCCCCAGACTCCAAAGCCCCCTCCCCTGCCTGGAATTGCCTTCCATCAGCTCTTTTCTTCAGGGGGACCACTATCCTCACCTCTCACACACACAGCAGTTTGGCCTATTTTGTCACTTTATATAAATGGAATCATATGGTACGTATTCTTTGTGCCTGGCCTCTTCTCTGTAATATTATGTTTGTGAGATACACCCACATTGTGTGTTGCATGTAGTTATAAATGATGGTTCATTCTCATTGCTGTATAGGACGCCATTGCACAAATATACCATCATCTGTTTATCATTTCCATTGTTGACAGACATTGGATTGTTTCTAGTTTCACACTATTAAAAATCATTCGTCGCCCAGAGGGGAGAGGGAAGGGAATTAAGGGGAAAAAGGGGAGGGATTTTGAGGAAAGTATGAGACTGGGGGGGAATGGGGGGGGGGGGGGGGGGGGGGGAAAAAAAATGTACTTGAAAAGTAACTAAATTAAAAAAATTGTAAGAAAATATATCTTCAAAAAAAAAAGATTAAAAGATATTATTTTCGAGGCAGCCAGCCTCTGGAATGACCCCTGTGACTTCCACTTCCTGGTGTTCATAGCCCTCCTACATCATCTCGGGGGTGGCTTATGTGAGCAACAGAACATAGCAGACACAGCAGATAGTATGTCATCTCTGAGATTAGGTTATAAAGATGTCCTGGGGACACTCAGGCCGCCATGGTGAGGCCCCTATGGTAAGGAACTGAGTTCTCCAACCAACAGCCAGTGCGGGAGAGTAGCTGAGACCTTCTGGCAACTACTTGGAAGTGGTATGATCTTGGAAGTGGAGCCTCACCTAATGGAGTCTTCTGATAACTGTGTCCCCAGCTGACAGCTTGACTGGAAGCTCACTGACAGGCCCTCAGTTAGGACCACCAGCGAGGGCTACATTATGTGACTTCAGTGGGCCCTGGGCACTTTTGTCTTCCTGGACCTTTTCTCCACTTAAAAAAAAAAAAAAGAAGACAAAGAAGCAGTGAAAGGAAATTGTACTGATAAGTCCAATTTAGGAAAGGTCTCCCTTTCCTAAACAGGCATCCTAGACACTGCACACACTCTGCCCTTCACCCGGCTACGTCCCTTGCAGAGGCCTGCGGAACCCACAGAAACCACGAGGTAATCAACGTTTGTTGCTTGAAGTTGCTCAGTTGTGGAGTAATTCGTTATTCAGCAATAGAGAACCAATAATCGTGCTACTGTGAAATTTCTTCTATGCCATTTCCAGTATACACGCACACACACACACACACACACGCTTCTGTTAAGTACAGATCTAGGAGTG